AGTATCTTTGGCAGTTCTATCAATTAAATAGATATCATATTCATCTTTTCTGATTATTTCATTTTCTTCCTGATATGCATCGATTAAAAGATCTTGAAACATAAATCCATATCTTTGAGTATCTTGATAAAAATACTCCAAATCTTGTTCAAGACAGAGTGACATCTCTTCAGGAAGATAAACTTTTAATTCTTGTTTTTCAAAATAATCTTTTAATTCATTTAAAAAAAGTTGTTTTTCCGACACTAATTAAACCAAAAACAACAATGACTTTAGGGTTTAGTTTTGAATTTTTAATACCCATTTTTTTTTAATTACATATATAAAATTATATTTAGTTAAAAAAAACTGAATATATTAATAAAGAGAATAAATAATATATTTTTTGGCTTTAAATCCCTTCATTTTAATATTATTATCAATAAAACATTCTTCAGCTTCTGGATTTATATATTCAATCACTTTTGTTTCTTTCTTTTTGTTTTGTATATTTTTAAAATAACTAAGTACTTCTTTTTCGTTTAAAATTTTAATCTCAGAACAACAACTTTTCTACCAAATTTTAGCCTGTTTAGTTAATAGTTTTTGTAATTTTTCACTATTATAAATAATTCCTATTTCTTCACCAAATCTTTTAAAAGCTGATTTAATTTTCTGCAAATCTTGAAGACCAAGAGATTTTACAATATTTTTACATTGAATTAAAAATATTTGTTTGTTTAGAGTAGCAATTATATCTATTTCAAAATCACCAGGATTATAAGCAATTATATTTGCTACCAATCTAATTTTATTTAAAGATTTTGCAAGAAGTTTTTCAAAATTATGACCTATTAAATAATTAGACTGAAAAAATGTTAACAAAAGTTTTTTATTCACTCAAATATTCGAATATCACTGTTGATATAATCAACTCAGCACCACCTGTTATGGATACCAAATATCTTTCGAAAAAATCAAAATATATCCTCAATGTTTATTAACATATTTAGAATATATCTATTTTTTTCTAGAGCAGCGTAACTTCCAAACTTAGTTAAGTGATTTTACTCACCAATTTCAAAGATTTTTCAGTTGTATAATTTTCTTTACCTAATTTTAAATTAGCTATTTTTTTTTATATTAATAAATTTCTATTTGGTTATAAATAGACTGAATAGAAAATTGTAAAAAAAAATAACATAAAAGAGAATAATAAAATAAATTTTAAAAAATAGATTTCACTAATTGTATTTGAAGTTTTTAATAAAATTTTATCAACAACTTCTTCTATAGAAAGATATGTTGTATCAATAATAAAAATTGTTGAGAGTTTTATGATTTCTTTAATAAATTCAATTGATAATATATTTTGTTTAATTATATCTAAACTAATAGTATTATGATCATTACTTTTTAATTAATTTAATCTTCTTTGAATATGTGTTTCAAAATCAGCAATTAATAAAATTTTTAATTCAGTATTAGGAAGAATATTTATTGCAGAATCACAACCAGATATAATATATTCCTTTTTTTTAGTAATTTCATGAATTATCTTATTAATTTCTTTATATATATTGTTGTTTTTAGCAATTAAACTAGCTCTTGAACTATTTTCAATATAATTTTAGAAAATACTGATTTATTAAGTTGAAGTATTTGTTCAATTTTTGTTTGTTGTAATAAAGATAATAATTCTTGTTCATCTTGACTTGTTGTTTTTGATATTAGATATCTATAAAATAATCTGCTATTGATAAATTGGTAATTTAAGATTAATACAAGTAATTTACCAATAGTAGATTTTTCTGTTGATATTAAACCATCGATTGTTATATTAATTTTTATAATTATGTAATTAAATTTCTAACTGGTTATAAACTGATTAAATTATAAAATAATATATAAAATAATAATAATAAATAAATAATATATTCTTCTTTAATCTCAATTACCATGTCTATTATTTTCTTTTTCTTTAACTAGATCTTCCTCATCATTTACAATAATATTTAATTCTTCACTAATTCCACTATTTGAATTATTATCTTCTACCCTGGTTCTTTTTCTTTTACGATTCAAACTATTACATTTTTTGGAAATCGCTTCAATAATTTTTTCTAAATTATTTTTTAAACTATCAGTTAAATTATATTTTTTAAGATCCTTTAAATCACAAAAGAACCATGCATCATGATTTTTAGACTCAGTATTTTTAGAAATTTGATCGGTAATAGAATAATAAATAAAAGTTTTAACTAAACATTCTTTTCTATCAGGAAATTTACGAAATCTATCTTTAAAACTAATTAAATTAACTTCCTCAATTTGAATATCTGCTTCTTCTTTAGCTTCACGAATTGCACATTTATCAAATATTTTATTTTTTTCTTTTTTCCCACCAGCAACTTGATAATGATCATAATAATCTTTATCAAAATTATTTTTTCTACAAAGCCAAACCTGTTTATCAAGATTAACTAAAATACAAAGAGAAAACTCTCTACGTTTATTTTCATATTTATCGATAATTGCTTTTTTTTGTTGTAAAAGATTTGTATTAATAGAAATTTGACTTTCGATTTCTAATTTTGTTTTTGAATAATCGAGAGAAAATCTATATTGAGGAATTAAATTTAGGGTATTCAAAAAGGAAAAATATATTCTATTAAGATTTGAAATATTATTATATTCTTTCAAAGCTGAGTCATATTCTATTTTTTTAATTATGTATTTAAAAATCTAATCAGTCAAAGAGACTGATTAGATATTGATATCTTTAAATATAACTTTATTTTCACTATTAATATATCCATTTTGACTAAAAATATATTTACTATTACATATATGAAATTCTGAATAATAATATTATTTACAATCAATACAAAAATAATTTTTTTCATTATCAAGAATAACAAAACCATCATCAGTATTATAATCCAAAAATCTTTTAGAAATAGTTGATTCAGTTGTAATAGCAATATCACTATCAAAATCTTCTTCAGAATAAAGTTTTCATTTACATTGTTTATAATAATTTCGTTTAAATATAAAATCACAGCTATCACAATAATAAAAATAATTTTTATGAGGTTTCAACCACTGATTATAATTTCGTTTATAATTATAAGTAGGTTTTTTTTGTTGTTTAATTCGTAAACTTCTTCGAATTATAATATTTGAACTTGAACCAATTTTAGTATAAAAATTATATGGTTCAATTGAATCTTTTTTGAAAAATGAAAGATTATTTTTTATCATTTTTGTTTACAAAAATAAAATTCTATTTGGTAAAAAAAACTAAATAGTTGCTAAGTTAACTTCTTCAATCTCTTCTACCTCTTCAACAGTTTCATCTTTAAATTTAGTTTTTAAATCATTAAAATTTTTTAAACTCATATTAATACCAGTAGTAATTCTATTAAGAGTTTTTAATCATTCAGAAATATGTTCATAATTAACATTTTTTCTATTGATAGGCATTTTGCCTTTAATTTCTTCAATTTGAGAAGCTTGGTCTTTTTGAATATTTCTCAAAATTTTAATCACTTCTAAATATTCTTCTAGACAAGGATAACAATTAATAAGAGAATTTTTAAGGAGAATTAGATTCATTTGCCATCCTTTTTTAGAAACATAAAAATCAATTTTTTCTTTTGAAAAAATTGTTCTTGGTTTCTTTTTATCATAAGAAGTTAAATTAACACCATTTTGTTTTTGGTATTTAGGCATTTTAAATTTATTTAATATATTGATTAATGAATTACATAATTAAAATTTTAATCAGTACAAATTGTACTGATTAAAATTATAGAGATTTAGAACAATATTCAAGTAATTTTAATCTGTTTAATCTTTTGATGGTGACAATTTGTTTAGAAAGATAATTAATTCTTTTTTCTGTAAATTTTTCAATATCAATATCTTTTACTTTCTTTTTTCTTTTAATAACTTTATCTTTAAATTCTTTAAGCAATTTTTGTTTATTTTTGTAAATAAAGCATTAGTAGAATTAAAATTTTTAACCCAAAGAAATAAATCATAATCTAATTTTAAATATCAAAATAATTTTTTAAATTTCATTAAAGATCCTTTTTCATTCAAAGAATCTAATCGTTCTTCTTTAGGATATTTTTTATCTATGCTTTGTAGCAATTTAAAGTAATGATAACATCTTCTAAAAGAACATTCCCAATTTGTATGACATAAATTATACTGCCATAAATCCTCTCAGAAATTTTTTTCTTGTTCTTTTAAAAAGCTATGATTACATTTATATTGAAAAAATGTAAAAAAAGGTATGTGTTCAGTATATTCTAATAAATCAAATTTTTCATTTAATTTTCTTTTTATATAAAGAATAACATATAAATGATTAAAACTAATATTTTTAAAAGATATTGAATTCATCACGATAAAATGTTCATAGAATGCTTTTTGGTTAAATTTTGAAAACTTTGAGAAAGGAGTTACAATATCTTTTTGAATAGTAGACATTGTAAATAATTAAAAATATTTTAATTATTTTTATGAAAGCACCAATATTGTTTTCGGTTATCAAATTTTATGATTCGATGAAGTTAAAATGAAGGTTGTTTTATCTCTCTTTTTATAGATATTTTCGAATGATCAAAAAAAAAAACTAAGTTTTTTTCTTCTCATAAAACAAATTAATTTCACAAATTAAATTTATTTCTTAATTCATAAAATCAATCAGCAATATATTTACTTTAATCTAAGAATCTTTATTTTCTAATTCATAAAATCGAACAGCAATATATTTACTTTAATCTAAAAATCTTTATTTTCTAATTCGTAAAATCGATCAGCAATATATTTACTTTAATCTAAGAATCTTTATTTCCTAATTCATAAAATCGATCAGCAATATATTTACTTTAATTTAAAAAAAAATCAATTTAGTAATATATTTATTTATTCTATAAATATAACCAATCTTCTTTAGTTTAATTTAAAAAAAATGAATTGGAAAAATAAATTTTCTAAATTTGAAGCAGTATGCATATGGAACAAACAAAAACATGCAAGAAAAAAACTTAATGAATATAAAATAGTAAAGATTAATAATAAACTTTATTATGAAGTTCGAACACAAAAACCTGAAATCACTTTTCTTTGTGATATTAAATATTATAATCTTATTAAAAACTATACTTGGTGTTTTTAAAAAGAAAGAAATAATTTTTATATTAAAACAAAAAAAACAAAATAAAACAGTTCGATTTTATCAAATGATACATCCTGAATGGAAAATGATAGACCATAACCAAGAAGGATCTAATAATCGAGAAATAAACTTGCGAGAAACAACACCAAAAGAAAATGCATTAAATTGTAAATTATATAAAGATAATTCATCTGGTTACAATGGAATTTATTTTCATAAATATAATAGCTAGTATTTTAAATAGAGTGAAAATAATAAATGTAAAGAAAAATATTTTAAAACAAAACAAGAAGCAATAAAATTTAAAATAAAATATGATAAAATTACTAAAAATATGAATAAAAAAAATTAAAATATTTATTATAATAAAATAATATAAATAATACAATAATTCTTTAAATTAAAAACTATCTTCTCTTTCACTATTTTGAGTCATTTCATTAATATCTTGCATTAAATCCTTGTATTCATCATAACTACTATAACTGCTATTACTAGATTCACATTTATTAAATCTATTACTTTCATTAACAGAATTATTAATATCACTAATAATACTAAGCACATCAGTTTGAAAAATAAAAGATTTATTATTTATAAATTCATTAATTACTTCATCATATAGTTGAAAATTTATATAATAATAATCATTTGCACAATTAAAACTTTATCTGAAAAAATTAGTATAAAAATTTAATCTATATTCATACTGTCTAACAGTATTTTCACCAATCTTTTCATATTGATTGACAGTATCTTGAATAATAATATCCTTTTCTTCGATAATTCTTTGATTTTGATGAATTCTTCTTTCTTCTCTTAAATCAAATTGAGCATCGTATAATTCTTCATGTAAAGTGATGTTAGACATTTTTACTTTGAGAGTTTTTGAATATGGATATGTTTCTTTACCAGTTTGTTGTATGAAAATTAAATTTGACATAAAAAAAAAAAAATAATAAAAAAATCTAACGTTTAAATAAAAAATTTAACTAGTTCTATTTTTTTTAGAAGATACTTCATCTAAAATTTCATTGGTTCTTTTTTTATCTTTTCTATATATAAATAATTGGTTCACATTCGGATAATCATTTAAATATTTAATCTTATGATCTGGAAATCTTTTACGCCAATAAATAATATCACCAATAATAATTTCTTCTCCCTCAATTCTCTTATTTATTTTTTTAGATTTTTCTATAATTTCCTTAATAGAATTTTCTCCAGTATGATATTTTACATCCCACAACATATTTCTAAATTTAGCCTCATCTCCCTTTTCGAATATAATTTCTGTAGTTCTTTTTTTAGGATCATTATTCTATTTTCCATCAAATCTGATTATGTAATCCAATCTTCATTCAAATTGGTTATAATCTTTCTTATTATCATCTTCTCCACTATATTGTCCAAAATTATAAGCTTCTTCAGGTGGTTTAGTTGCTGTTAAACAAATATATTTGGCTAAAAAAGGTTCAAACCTACCGTATTTATATTCAACTTCAAAAC